GGTTAATTTTGCAAAATGGATTCTATAATGCACAATATAATTGCTATGGTGTCTAATGGTTAATACGGCTTTGTTTTGACCCAAGGAATTTGATAGTTTGATACTATCAAATTTCAAACAATATTCTTGACTTTTTCTTTTCTTTAAATTTGAAAAGGAAAAAAAATAAAATAAAAATAAAAAAAGGAACAAAGAGCAACCTACTTTTTGATATTTTAATTTTAATATGCAAGTATGCATTCCGTAAAGATGGAAAGTAATGCATGTAAACTCAAACTTGAGATCCCCTTTTACTTTGGTCCAAATTATCTGCGTTACCTATTGACTTGCAAATGTAGGGTTTGAGTTTATTTTCATTATTACTCATATTATTATTACTATTACTCCGTATTATTGTTGTTATTAACATATTTTAAGTGACGAATAAAATGTATGTGTGCGCCATATATTTGAAGTATCATACAAAATCAAAGAAAAGAAATTGTTTAAAACAATATGATTGAAAATACATGAAAAAAAATATATATTAAGGTGTTGATTGGCATTGGTACCTTTTGCACAAGGTACGATTATATATGTTTTTGTGTGCAAATTAGTATCGTAGGAATAAGAATCAATACTTTGATAGTAGCCCGTAGCCAGTATACTCCCGAAATAACACATTGTTGTGTGTGCATATACACTAATTTTATTTATTTTGTTTGGTCTAAAGTTTTTGTTATACCTAATATAGAAAAGAGTAATATTACACTAGTTTTTACTCCCTGCATATATGGTATGCATTATTAATCCAAAAAAAAATAAAAATGGTGGGTCATAATTTTTTTTTTCTTTGTTTCTCTCCCATTAATGAAATCAAGACATGTAAAAGTTTTACTCTCTGTGTTCATATATCATTTTCTTATGAAAAAAAGCTCTCCTAACATCTAATATTCCATTAATAAGATTCGAATTCGTAGACCTTATTTAAAGAGAATTAAGTCCCGCTTATATATTAAGACTTTATAATCCATATACAAAATTTGGAGACAATTTGCACCGTCTAATATATTTTGTGATAAGCATAATAAATCACATTCATTGATTATTCCTAAATTGAGCTAAATTATTGTGAGTCTCAAAATTTCTGCTAGTCAACTAGTTACCAATGCAAGGTTGACATTTGACAATTGCATAGCAAAGCAGAATTAATTAAGGTTACACCAAAACTTGGAATCAACATGTACAATTGTACGTTTGTTTGACACTTAATTTTTAAATTAATCACACCTTATCCTAAGTTAATTCCATTTTTTAAAAAATAAATAAATAAATATTATCTTTGACACGTGTCTACTCACCTGCTTCTCCAATGATTGAAGAATGACATAATTCACTTTTTGTAATTTTGTTCACAATAATTATTTTATTTTTATTTTTCTTTATTACTTTTTTGTCTTATTTTCTATGTTTAGTTATGAGACTTGACTTAAATTATTTAAATTTATTTTTTAAAAAATATATTAATATTATTATATAAAATTTATATATTTAAAAAATACATTGAACTGACTATTTAAATACTAAAAAAAAAAAAAAAAAAAAAATTGGAGGGTGGATTGTAGTAGTGTTACTTGTGTAAGAACTTTAATAAAGGTAAAGATTTATGAAATTGGAGATGGATATGGTGGTGGTATAGTATGAGCAGTGATGGTGGTGGTGTACCGGGAATGGAACAGGGCAGGACATTCCTGTCGACGTCCCCCGTGAAGAATGGATACATCTCTAATTTACGGTAATGTTTTATGTGATATTGTATTGTTAAACTAAAATTAGATTTTTAAAATATGTGACTAATATTATATGAGAATATTTGTCGTTTATCCAAATAAGATTGGGTAGTGTGAACACTTATATATTATTTTAGACCAAGACACTCTCATGCAACGTTATCAAATTCATCATATACTTCTTCTCTTTTTAAATATTGTATACTGAACCAGTGAACTAAACATGACAAATTTATCATATAAGCTATAACGTTGCCTCACATTAATTGTCCTATTTATTACCAAATAACAATATAGGAACCACTTTTTTCATGTCAAATTTCATAACATGACTTCTACGTAGTTTGTTATAGGATATGATTGGCATATCAACAAATAATTAATGAACATAAAAAATTGTGATATATACTTGTAACAAATCACATCATTTAGTATGATATTTGATCAAAATTTTGTTGGTACAAATAATGTCTTCTTTTTTTTTTTTTTCTTTTTTCTTTTGGCGTGTAAGAATGAAAATTCGTAATTACTACTCGAGGACATTAGGTAAATTTCGCTAGTGTAATAGCTTGCAAACCATATATAAGAGCGTAAACCACATTAGAAAGAATCTGCGCGACGGGCTCGATCAAGAGGGTGTTAATAAGAATCAAACTCGTGAAATAATATGTTTTTAAAATTATTTTAGTGGTTGATTTAACTAAATTTTAATACTATTAACATTAAATAAAAATAAAAAAAATTAGGATATATATCAACAAACTTCTTATTGAATATTACTTCGATCTTTTATGAATAAAAATCCAAAATTTTCAAATATATAATTATATAATTTTTTTGGGGAAAAAATAATAAAATTCTAACATTGTCATTGTGAGATAAATCATAAAATTATAAAAAGGTAAAAATAAAAATAAAAATAAAAATAAAAAGAAGATAACTTTGATGAGCCCGCAACATCGAGAGTGACACATGTTGGTCTCACATCCCTCTTTCTCACTCCTACCCATATGTACTACTCACAATTTATAATAAATAAATAAATATGACATAAAAATTATTTACTCGTCAAGCACTAAATAGAGTTAACTAAGGCTTTGCTTAATTATTCACGAGATTTGGAGGTTATTGACAGCACCCCTTCATCACATGCTTGGCATTTTTTAGTTTGGGAAGGTCTGCTCAAAAGCTCAATGAATAATTTGAGTGTTTTTGTCAAATCTAGGTTACCTTTTTATTTCGATTTTGTTTAAATATAAATTAATCTCTTAATCTTTATTACGAGGCTTGGAAGTTATTGGCAATAACTCGTCACATGATTCGCGTTTCTAGACATAGAAGAGTCCATTCAATAAATAATTTGAGGATTTTTATCAATTATGAGTTACCCTTTTATTTTGATTAAAAAAAAAAGATATTAATCTATTAACTTTTAAAAGAAATAATTTAATATCATTAAAATATTTTATTGGTGAAAAGTGATCTCATATTTATCTCTCGAACTACTATTGTTGGTCGTTTTAAGTGTATATTCTTTAAGTTGAATTTTAAAATAACATTTAACTTTATATCCATTTTTTAAAATTATATATTTAAATAGTTTTTAAAAATTATATATATATATATATATATATATATATATATATATATATATAAAAGACAAGCACAATATAATTAGATTATGAGAAAATGTAAATCAATATAATGCATGTCATGGTACAATAAACTATTATGCATAGCTAATAACATTGTGGTTAAGTGGCATAAAGTGACTCTCTCAAATGGGAGGTCATGGATTCCAGAGTCAGTAATGTGTTTTTTCATATTTCAAAAATGTTACCTCTCAACAAAATTATCAAAACTCCATTAAATATTTTGTGATTGTTTCCTTAAATTAAAAAGTTCAAGAATCCATTAAAAAAACAATTAATATTTATGACAATATATTTATTCACTCGTTAAGAACTATAGAGGGATTTTATGTGAGACAAAATAGAGCAACAATTTTTTTTTTCTAAGGCTTTACTTTATCATTCACTAGGTTTAGAGGTTATAGACAATACCCTATTGTCACATGCTTGAATTGGTGTTTCTAGGCCTAGCCGCCTAAGAGAGTCCGCTAAGTTATTAATTCGAGTGTTCTAGGGTGAAACATGTATGATTTCATATCGATCACTTGAACTATGAGATTTAGTCATCATTTTAAGTACATACTTTTTAAGTTAAATTTTAAAATAATTGTATATACATATAACTTTATATGCAATAAATCCATTGTTTAAATTATATGCTTAAATGAAGAGGTTGAAATTAAGATATTTTGTAAAGTATAAGATGAGTAAAATTAAATTATTATGAAGAAAAATGTATACAATAAAATGCATAACATTGTTTTTTCAAAAAAAAAAAAAAAAAAAAGTGACGTTTTTAGTTCTTTATTTGTTATCATGTTGTAAATTATGTATTTAATTATTATTTTTTTGAGTACTACTGAATCTTTTATAATATAGTATTTCAACTTATTAAAGCACAAAGAGTGACCTTTCATTTAGAAAAGCCACAATCATGCTGCTCTACAGGAATGAGCAAAAAATAAAGACCGATCGAGAAATCATGACCGATAACTAAACCGACAGAAAATTTCGATTTTCGATCAGTTATGAGAGGTTATGAGTTTGAGCTCTAGTAGAGCGATATTAACTCTATGCGCATCATTGTAATTACTCTAAAAACAAATATATGTATTTATACACTTCTCGATGCTTTTACTCTCTTCAACTATTACTACCTTGCCCGGAGAATTGCCCGTATTCTTCGGGCAGACCCATTTACTTTAAGATCATTGATTATATAAGACAACTGTTTCTACTACTATTACTACATTGCCCGTATTTTCTGGGTAGACCCATTTTACTTTAAGAACATTGATTATATAAGACACCCGATAATTCGCGTATTTTCTGGGTTGACCCATTTTACTTTAGGACCATTGATTATATAAGACACCCGATAATCCGCGTATATTTATTGCCTTTTTTTTTTCTTTTTCTTTTTACAGCATAATAAAATTACGCATGATTTTTCCATTTTATACTGTAGCCTACAATAGACACAACATACATTCCATAATATTTTAAGTAGTTTAATTAATCACTATCTGAAAAGGAGGGTTTTTTTCTTTCTTTTTTTTAGGTGCCATTTATTTTGAGAATGGGGGTGGTGGGGGTTGGAACTGGTCAAGAGTATTTGAGGCTTTTGCTGAGATTTCAATAACTTTGAGGGAAGCAGACATTTTTCTTTCTAGGGGGCGCACTTTTGGAGTGGGGGATTATTATCTGATGATGAAACCAGCTTTGCTCGCACTGTTTGTGTGTTTGTCTTCTGTTCTCTTCTCTTCTTCTTCTTCTTCTTCTCTCAGGTTGGAAGGTCAATCAAGATTCCATACAGGCAGGTGATCTGAATCTACCAAGCCTTTTTCAGTGTGTCCTGTGCTTCATTTCTAGAGCTGGGTTTGTGGTATTTGTGTCAAAGAAGGGATTTTTGGGTTGTGGGTTGTCTCAAGAAGTGGTAAAGGGGGGATTATTTGGTGATTCTGAATGGGGGGGTTTCAGTTCTTTGGCTGATTTAGTGGGGTAGTGGATGGGATTTAAAGGGTAGTTGGGAGATTCCAAGATTTGATTAAAGGGGATGAAGGGGAGGTTGGTGGGAGGTAAAGTTGGGATTTTTATGGGGATTTGATGTTATCTGAGCTTGGGATTAGGGTTTGTGAAAGATGGGATTAGAGGGTGATGTTGTAAAGGTGGAGAAGGTGGAGGCTTGGGATGTGGGAAAATCAAAGGGGATGATGATGAAGAAGAAGAAGAAAGAAGGAGGGGAGTCTGGGGAGGGCACTGGGTGCTGGTTTAAACTCAGGTTTATTGGTAGCTGTATTTCTTCAAGATCTAAGGTGGATAACTCCATCAGTGGCATCAGTGCTCGCTGTGGTATACCTTCATCCCTTCTTGTTATTAACCAAATCCTTCTGTTCTTTGTTCTTTTTTTAGTCTGGTTCAGTATAATCTTCTGCCTGCAAATTTATTCCCTTTTCTTAAGAAGATTTGTTTAATCCTTTTCTCATGGAATTGCATACTTCTTTGTGTTGCTCCCCATTATTTTACTGTGTTTTTGTATTGAATGAATGAAATGGTTGTGTTATTCTTTGTTTTGAGTCTGGTTTAGTATAATCTTTGAGCTTGGTGAGAGTTTTATGCCCTTTTTTAAAAGAAGATTTTGTTTAGTTCTTTTCTCATGGAATTGTGTAGTTTTATGTTATTTTAGAGTGGGTGGGATGAAGTGCTTTTGTTGGTGAGTGAGAAATGGTTGTTTGATAATAAGATATACTCCCAAAGATGATCACTGCCGAGTTGGAATTTAAATCTTCTTCTAGTAGAATCAATCTGCTTGGGAGCAGCCTATTGGCCTTCTTGGTTTGGTTTGAACCGGTCAGCTATGGGCAACCTAGGCTTGTTTAACTCCTTGTGGTCCTTTGCCGGCTAGGGTCACAAGGCGGGGGTTTGCCGGCTAGGGTCACAAGACGGGGTTGCCCAGTGCACACCCTCGGGTAGTGGTTGCAGGTTTCTCTCGTCAATAAGGCTAAACACAAAGGAGAATCAATTTGCTTGGGAGCAGCCTATTGGCCTTCTTGGTTTGGTTTGAACCGGTCAGCTATGGGCAACCTAGGCTTGTGTAACTCCTTGTGGTCCGCCACAAGGCGGGGTTACCTCGTGCACACCCTCGGGTATTGGCTGCAGGTTTCCCTTATCACCCAAAATAAATAAATAAAGCTAAACTAAAACGAGAAATTTGTTACGGGACTTGAAAGCTTCAAGCTATTGTAGTTTAGTTGGAGTACTGGTTTATGAAAGTTGTGGATGCTTATGATAGGGTACGTATAAAGAATAATAAAGCTGCACGTACTCTGATTTGAAAGCTTATCCAGTTGCTCGGGCACGTGTGGAGAAAGTAGCATTGTTCGTGTAATAACACATTCTAAATTTGAGGTTTAGTTTAAGGAAACAATAGTGTTGCATTGTAAATGCTAAGGATCCGGTTGTTTGCAATCCGCTTATTTCGGAGCGCTTTCATAAAGATCTTACTTTTTCAGTTTTTTCTCTCTTGTCGTTTGTGAATTAGTAATATGGAAAGAGTATCTATTGCTGTTTACACGTAACTATGAATTAATACCTTGGATGTTGCTATGCTAAGGTTTGGTTTTGATTAAGGAACGAGGATTATGTCATAATTAACTGTTGCTTATGTTGAAAACCTTTGAGAAGTCGGGAAAAGTTGAGGTTTAATTAACTCGATTATGTTGTTTTACCTGTTTAATTTGTTGCATTATTTTTTTTAGCAGAAAGTAAATCGACAAATGATACGAGCATAGGCCAGGCAGTAGCTCCGGTTATTTCATCCACCACTACGAGTAACGCGGAAAGCAATGCATCGACCTCCAAACTTGAAGAAGAACTTAAAGTCTCGTCTTTGCTTCGAAAGTTCACGTTTAACGATCTTAAGTTGGCAACGAGAAATTTTAGACCGGAATCCCTTCTCGGAGAAGGGGGTTTCGGCTGCGTATTCAAAGGGTGGATCGAAGAGAACGGCACGGCACCGGTTAAACCCGGGACGGGACTTACTGTTGCTGTGAAAACGCTGAATCATGACGGGCTTCAGGGTCACAAAGAGTGGCTGGTTTGTCGCTTTACTCTCTTAATCAGTCTTGCGTTTGGGTGGTTTATGTCTTTTGCACGATAAAAATGTTTGGATTCTTACCCGTTATTATCGTCTTTTACGGCAGGCCGAAGTGAGTTTTCTCGGTGATCTCATCCATCCTAATTTAGTTAAACTGATTGGTTACTGCATCGAAGATGATCAGAGGCTTCTAGTTTACGAATTCATGCCTCGAGGAAGTCTGGAGAACCATCTCTTCAGGAGTACGTAGCTAACCTCGTACAAAACGCTTTTCTTTTATGGATTCTTGTTTTCGACTTTTAAGCAATTTGAACGGGTTTTGCGTGTAGGGTCTTTGCCTCTTCCGTGGTCTATCAGGATGAAGATTGCTCTCGGTGCTGCTAAAGGTCTTACTTTTCTTCACGAGGAAGCTCAGCGGCCAGTCATATACCGTGATTTCAAAACATCCAACATATTACTAGACGCCGTATGTGGCACCACCTATAAACTCCCCGGGGGGGGGGGGGGGGGGGGGGGGAGTTCGTTCTTTCGTTACATTTATGCAATTTTTCTAATAACAAATTCTTGCAGGATTACAACGCCAAGCTTTCTGACTTCGGACTTGCCAAAGACGGTCCCGAGGGCGATAAGACGCATGTCTCTACTCGTGTCATGGGAACATATGGTTATGCGGCCCCGGAATATGTAATGACAGGTAATGTGCTTATCTTTAATGGAAGTAATTCAATACCAATATATGAACCCAACGGGGTAGCTCAAGTGGCAAATGATAGAATTCCGGGATAACCCGGGTTCGATTCCCACAAGTGACGATTCCCCTTGGGCCAGCTCCCGTGCCTCCCGGAGCGAATAGGGATTAGTCGGGTGGACCTGGACTGTTAAACGGGCAGAGAAAGACCCGGACCACCTAGTACATTTTTATTCGTGTTCCCGATGGGTTTTATTTTACATTGGGTAATATAAATGGAACACTAGAGTCTCGTGCATTTTTATTAATCGTATCCGTCTCGGGTTGCTTATATCTCATCCCGGTTTTTCCCCCCTTCAGGGCATTTGACATCGAAGAGTGATGTCTACAGCTTTGGTGTAGTGCTTCTTGAAATGATTACAGGTAGGAGATCGATGGACAAGAACCGACCCAACGGGGAGCATAACCTCGTGGAATGGGCGCGGCCCCACATTGGCGACAGAAGGAGGTTTTATCGGCTGATAGATCCTAGGCTGGAGGGGCATTTCTCGATAAAAGGCGCCCAAAAAGCAGCGCAATTGGCAGCCCGGTGCCTCAGCCGAGACCCGAAAGCCAGACCTATGATGAGCGAGGTTGTCGAGGCGTTGAAGCCGCTGCCGAACCTCAAGGACATGGCGAGCTCGTCCTACTATTTCCAGACCATGCAAGTCGACCACCGCATCGGGTCGAGCCCGAACGCGAGAAATGGCGGCGGTGGCGGCAGAGTGCCGCCCCCGTCGTTCGCCAAGAACGGTGGCGGACAGCAGCAGCACCCGAGGAGCCTGTCGATACCAAACGGCTCCTCACTTACTTCCCCCTACCATCACCATCAGTTTCTGCAGAATTCACCAAAACCAAATGGCAAAGCTTAGAATTGGATTGGCAGTTGACTCATCTCCACCATTCTTTATCTCTCTCTCTCACCCAAATTATGAAGATGCCTTTTGTTTGGCCAGCTGGCAAAGGAAGAAAATCAGGTTTTATTTTTTTCTTTTTCTTTAAATTTTCTTTTCTTTAAAAAAAAAAATCTGTTGAGACTGGTGAACTCCCCCTGGAAATGATTGTAATGTAAGCAGAGCTAAAGTGTCCATGGAGTAAATATTTTGTATGTTAATATATGAGCTCTCATGTGGTGATTCTCCTCACCTTATTCACTTCTCAAATGGTTTATGCTAAATATCTTTAAGATAGCATTAAAAAAATTATGGAAAATTATATGGCCCTGTTCAGTATAATAGTTAGTCTATCAGTCAATTTTGGCATATTTGACTACTATTAGCTGTTTGATTTGGTTAAACAATCAATATGAGTGTTTCATTAATTAGTTTTTTATAACAATTTATTATTTCAAAATGTTAAAATTCAAAAACTGCTCAAAGTAGCTTTTTGATAAGTTTTTTGAAAGTTATTTTATATGTAATTAGTTAATTTATCAATCACTTTTTAACAATCAGCTAATGATATTAACTAGTCAAACTTACTAATCCAACTAGCTAATAGTCATTTACCAAACACTCCCTATATATTTTTGGGTATATATGACATGTTTATGAAACTAAAACTATAGGGAAGTTTGGAGAAGAGTTGTATTTATTTAAAATTAAAAGAGATAAATCACTAATTTGGTTGTTGAGGCTTGAAGCTAAAAATTAATACTCATTTAATGTCACATGCCATGGTTCTGAAACTATAGGGAAGTTCTATGAAGAGTTGTATTCCAAATTAAAAGAGAGAGAACTCCCTAATTTGGTAGTTGAACCCAAAAATTAATACACTCATTTAATGAGGTACAAATCAATCATAGGCTATTTTACAAGTACAAGCCTTATAATAGAGGCGGCTATAGGACAATTCATGGCCCCGAATCATACCACTAAAAAAAGGGGGACCAATTAAACCATCAACCAAGATTCATATTGTATTGTGAATCTTGATTCAAAAATTATATCTGCAGTTAACATGTTATGTACTTGCAACTAATAATTTTTATATTTATAAATTAATTGAAGACACATTACATTCTAATTAGATACACAAAAATTATTAATTATAGATACAAAATATGTTAATTGTAGATACATAAGATGTTGGTTAATACGTTATGTGTCTGCGGTAACGTATTATGTACAATAGTTATATCAAGTTGTGTCTTCTGTCAATAGCTATCAGGTTATGTATATCTTCAATTTGTTTACAGATATATAAACGATTAACTGCAAATACAGAATTTAAAAGTTTCAATATAATTTGCCAAAATTTGTTAAGCCAAGCAGTCTTAGACTCTTATATTGGACTGAGCCCAATCCCCCTCCAAAAAGGCTCAAGCCGACTAGGATTCACTACGCAAATTATGCTGTGCAACCGAATGCACCTTGCAAAACGACGCCGTTTTGGTTAAAAAAAAACGCGCGTCCCACTTAAAGAAGAAATCAGGTTCGATTCCCGGCAATAGCATTTTTATATAACCACAATTTCATAACTATATATCCACAATTTCATAACTATATATCCACAGTGAATGAATGGAGTAAAAATCCACAATGAATGAAGTAAAAATTCACAATGAATGAATGAATGAAGTAAAAATCCACAATGAATGAACTAAATATCCACAATATATGATTGAACTAAATATCCACAATGAATGAACTATATAACCACAATTTCATAGCTATATAACCACAATTTCATAACTATATATCCACAATTTCATAACTATATATCCACAGTGAATGAATGAAGTAAAAATCCACAATGAATGAATGAATGAAGTAAAAATCCACAATGAATGAACTATATAACCACAATTTCATAACTATATAACCACAATTTCATAACTATATATCCACAATTTCATAATTATATATCCACAATAATGCTATTGCTGAGAATCGAACCTGATTTTTTAAAAAAGTAGACGCGCGTTTTTAATCAAAACAACGTCGTTTTGAACCGTATGCACCATGCGCATGGTACATTCGGTTGCATAGCATAACTATTGGATTCACTATGTACGTTATGGCAAATTATGCGCTGGGATGAATTAAAAAGGTGGACACAATTTCAAAATTATTTATAATTGCGAATATAGAATCAAAAAATTATAAACATATGATCCAGTAATTATAAACATAAACATAGAATCCGCTCGTTATGGACATTAGTGTAAATTCCATATGTAATTATGAGCACATAATCTAGACTATGAAGACCGAGATTGCATGACCTTGTGACAAGGTCATGCATCCTTGTCCATGTTATAATAATTAATACGGAGTAAAAGATTATTTCAAATGGTTAAAATAGTTAAATTGGAAATTACATAAAAATCCTGATTTTAATTTCAACAAAAGACAAAACTTTTCTCATACTCACCCCTTCCATAGCATTATCACTTCAGTGTTGATAATGATAACAAAAGCAATTTAATATGGAGTAGAACATTGAAGGAAAATCACAGTAATTCAAATGTCAATTCAGTGAAGAAAACCATGACAATGTTAATCCATTGTGTGACATCTGGATAGATAGATCAAAAAGAATTGGGAAGTTCTCACACTGGCATTGACACCAGCGAATGAAAGATTATTTTCTACAGTATCATGTACGAAAACCATCATTGCAAGATAAAACTCGGGTTTTTTTCCGGTGAACAAAAAGGTAATTGGAGGAAGGTTCTACCTAAATTTATTGCTCTGCACCAAACAAAATATCACCATCTCCACTAACTTCACCACATGGTAGTGTGCGTAAACTAATCATGGCTTGAGGGCAACAGCCAGCCCAATCTTGGCACTCTTCTCGATTGCCCTGGTGTCCACTTCACCGGAGATGGTGAAGAGTGATTTTGGACGCCACTCATGTTGGATGAGAGCGTGTGCCTTGCCAAAGTTGTTAACCTTGGCCTTCACCGTGGTTGCTGGATCCAATTTGTGTTGTGTCCCAATGGTAAGAGTATTCTCATTGCTTGAGAAGCTGTGAGTCAACTCCGCACCAACAGCTGTATTTGTCAACGGTCGTACAGTGTGGTAGTAGGAAGCACCGAGGAAGTCACCCTTGTCATTCCTACATTCAATAGGAAAATTTAGTCATACACCAAAACAAAAGATGGATTCAGTATTGAAAGAGTGTGCAATGTATGTCTTCGTCGCAAATGGCAAATCCAGAAGGAGTGTAAATTGGAACTTTTTTTTGGCAAAACCCAAAAGTAACAAAGGACCAATGCTTTAACTCATGGAAGTGTATTATAACAATAAAAATTCAAGTAAACCCCACTCGATACTCACAATGTTAAAGAAGCTATCAAGTCAGAGGTAGAGAAACTCAATCCAGCATTGTATTTGGTGAACTTCCCGGTGGCAGTGTCAAATGAGACATCAGTCCCGAGGGCAAGAGTATTGTTCCCAGCAACACCAGAGAAGCTGACAAGGGGACTGGCAGTTAGTCCAATGCTAGTACTGATTCCAGCATACTCATGCAAGTACTGGAGCTCTACCTGTTCACAATATAAGTATTATTGAGTATTCATTGAATCAATTGCACATGCACAAGCAGATTATGAGAAATTTCTAAGTACTCCAACAAATGGGCAGGACCATGAGAGAAGGTACCTTGCCAGATTTCTGGTCTGGAGCAACGAAACTAATGATTGTCTTCAGCCCTGGTGCTGGTTCATCAACAGTGATTGTTGTGTAAAGCTGCAGATTACCATCCAAATGACGATGTCAATTTCACTTTTACCAACAAATAACCACTTTCTCCAAATCAAGGAGAAAAGGGAAGGAACGCTCCTTCAATTTATAATATTAAGAAATAAAAGACAAGATTAAAACAGCCCACTCATATAGTAGTTCACATGTCCCTCTTATCTTGAAGTTACTGGAACTCCCGTAAAATACTACCGAGTTTGAACTTCAAAAAAAGAAACCAAAAATGAAGGCTCACTTTGGAATTGGTGTCCACTTTTAGGTCTGTTGTGATATTTTTATTCTTCAGCTGTGTGTTGACATCAGCTACAAGTAATTCGCCTTTCTTAACACCAGACGAAGTAATGGCCTGTCACACAAGAAATCACAAAGTGATAATGTCAAATAATATTTAACAAGCAATATACAAAACAAATTATAAATGAAAGTTCACAACTTTACAAGCATACAATACACATATTGCTTGCTAAATTCCAGATACTAAATATTCATTAATTACAGCCCAGACCATAGGTTTTCATAAGAATATTGAATGAGGATGATTAGCACTAGTACATAACCAAAGACAGAGTAGCAAACTAGCAATTCAGATTACAAGTATATTCCTCATAAATCCCCAAAACTGCACAATTAAGCAATCATTTTACAGATTTATGAATCTAAACACACAAAATCCTTCTTACTCCAAATGATACTCAGTCACGTCTCAACGTTTACCTACCTACTTTAGTCTTCATCCAAAAACCCAATTAGACAGTAATCATTTAACCTAATTACCATTTACCAGCAGCATAGTTAAATAGTTAACACGAATTTGCCACAGTTATCATCACTAAGCAAAACGTCCTAATCTCCTAGTTAAATAGTTAACACGAATTTGCCACAATTATCATCACTACGCAGAACGTCGGAATCTCAAAAAAAATATGCGATTGCAGATACAAAAATGAAGACCGAGCTAGCGAGACTAACCACTCCGGTGGCGGAGTAAGTGGTGATGGTAAACTTGTGGTCGGCGACGTAGTCCCTGTAGAGAAGATCTGAAACCGAAACCGCAGATTCATTTCAATCGAGTCCGTACACAGATATACACACATATAACGCACAGATGAAGACAAAAACGGAATATGAGAAAATGACCTTTGGCTTTTTTGCCGATGTCGGAGTAGAGACCGGGACCCTTCACCATCTCGCCTTCTGGCAGTTAACACCGGAGCTGTAGAGAGAGAAGCGACGGAGGAGAAAAGTTCTTCGATTCTAGAGAGAGAGAGAGAGAGAGAGGGGAGGCTGTAAATATATTTGATGAACCCTAACTTATATTGGGTGGTAATTTTGAACCGTCAGGATCAGCCGACTAACAGAAATGAGGTGTTGTAGACCGTTGATTTGTCCAAGAAAAGCGCATGGCAGCATTCTTTGGGACTTGGGTTGGGTTGGGTTGGGT